CGCACCTGAGAATTTCACTTCAGCACTGCGCCTCCTCTGAGTCTGGGTATGATATTCTCTTTACTCCTAGTTGTAGAATTTCCACTCAGCCAGCCCTCCTGTGGTTCTAGATGGTGTCCATTCCGTTTTCAGGAGTAATTTGAATTGGTTGTTCGAAGCAGCAATCTCCGGCGTTAACCTATGCCGCCATCTTGGTTCTCTCTCTGAGAAATCTGTCTTCCTCCCTTTTGATTAAATGTATATTTTAATCCATTTCCCTCTACAGTAGGTCCTCAGGTTATGTCAGAGATCCGTTCCTACAGCACAGAATGCACCTACATAAGCAACTATGTCACTCACATGGAGCACATACACAGCAGTAATGAAGTGAAATAGTAAAAAAAAATTAAAAGAAAGATAACAATTCCTGATCTTGTGGTAAATAAATAATAATAAAAATAAAGCACATATGTACATACATCGAAATGACAGAAATTTTTCTTTACATAAATAAATGGGAGATGGCGATGTAACCATGAAACTACGTATGTCGAGTCTGACGTAACCCAAGGACTGTCTGTATTAACTTAATCATACATTATTATTACTATTTTTTTATGATTCTTCCCTGTGTTCTTAAAAGATCACTTCTTACATTCTATTTAATTTTTAATTGTAGTTTGATATACAAAACATAAAAATTTACCATTCTAGCCATTTGAACCATTTAGGACACTCATCAGCAAGATCGCAATTTATGGTCACTAAAGTAGTCTCTATAGAACTTCAATTGAGTATTTTGCAACTGTGAAAAAAAATAAGAACAAGTGTATGTATGAACTAATACGAAGAAATAGTAAGATATATTGCTAAATGAAAAAAAAGCAATGTGTAAAACAGCATTGATAGCATGCTACTTCCCATGTAAAAATGAAAGGAAATAAAATATATCCAACTGTCTGCCCATTGAGCAAAAAAGAAGCACAGGGAGAATAAATCAGAAACTAATAGAATTTTTTATCTATAAGAGTTAGGGCAGAAGCAATGGGGAGATGGGTAGAATTATTTGTGTAGTTT